CCAGGAGGGTCAAACTTTTATTGACAATCATCTAGCTCAAGTTGCCCAACAACTGGGGACTCGGGTGATTCAACAAGGTGATCAGAGACTGTATACATCAAGAATCCGAGTGACTGCACACCGACCAGAGAGACGATCCACTCGGCTGCATCATCGAACGACTTGGACACCTATTCGGGTATGTTAGCTACTGGTGGTGAGCTCTCTTTGGATAGCCCAAGTCACACTGCTTTCGTCCAAGCTTGGGAATGTGAATGGGATCATGACAGTCATCCAGCGTTTTCAGATAGTGATAGTCAGGGGTTAGGTGCTGCCATGCTAGCTGGTCAAGTCCATATACCAGTGGAGGACCATCTACAGGAGGTGGTTGGGGTGGATCATCAAGTTGAGTTGACTCGGGATCTTGACCCATTGCCAAATGAGCCGATCAACTCAGTATTTGAGCTTTAGTTAATGTGGAATAAATGGGCTGACGGTCTTCAAGCTATGGGCATAAATGCAGGACGGCTACTGAGGGACATTGATCAAGCGGAAAAGACAGCTTCGCAGCGGGGAAGACAATGGTCTACAGAGATGAAAATGGAAATTATGGGCCGACGGTTTTATGAGTTTATGGACTGGGATACTACTATTCAGTCTCTTAAGCATGATGGATTGGGCCGAAGGTTGAATTTTCCATATGGCAAGAGATACTTGGGCCAACAGACGTTGGTTCTAGCTGGGTCTCCTGAGGATGGGTTGATAAAGTCTATTGGGCCTAGTAATGATGCCTCAAGTTCAAGAGGGGAAGAGATATTGGGCCGTCCTTAGACAGAGCATTGGACGATGGAACATGTAGATGGGCCTCCTTACAAAAGAAGATTGATGGATAGTAACCATGATACCATAGTTGCTTATTTTTCGGAAGGGGTTGCGGAGGTCGAGGGTGGTTTTGGGGAAGAAGGGATAAATATCCATGGTGTTGGAGGGATTTCAGATTCAGTAGTTGTTGTTAGTCCGGTGGGAAAAAGACGACGGAAGATTCAACATGGCTTGACGAACTGTGGTCTCATAGTTGGGCTGGAGAGCAATGGACGCACAAATTCGATAGGGGCTGCTGGTACTCTTTAGCCTGCCTCATCTCGGACTTATCGAACGGGAGCTCGTTCGCAATGTTTGCTGGATCTCTCTAGACGATGTCAGAAATGCATGCAGAGGAGTAGGCAAATTGGTGGGGTCGATCCGGGTGAAGGTTCCTCTCGTTGGCGTAAATGACGATTCCAGGCGACAATGGGTTTGCAACAGAGGTTGGTAGAAGGATCAGAGTCGGGTTATGATTCTGAACCAAGTTCTTTGGATACCATAGGGGAGTCTGTTAATCACCCCCCATGGACGACTACGGATGGTGTTTTCATTGAAACGAAGGCGGCGCGTATGAAGGAGCTCTTACTCTCATCACCATCGCAAGATATAGAAGGGGTTTTTCAGGAGGTTCTTCCACAACAACCTTCTCAGAGGCCATGAGGATTTTCAGCTGGAACTGTAGGGGTTTGAGTCATCCACTAATAGTTCGAGCGGCTAAACAATTGACCCATCGATGGCGGCCAAATTTAATTTTTTTCAGTGAAACCAAGCAAATGTCTAAATAGTTGGAGTTCTTTCGAATGTCTCTGGGATACCGCAATTGTGTTGGTGTGGATTGTAATGGCAGTCGGGGTGGTTTGTGGGCTGCATGGGATGATTGTCAACATATTATTAGTGTTGGCGCCACTGATCGGTATTTGTTGTTACATATTTCTGACGTGGTAATGGGTGATTGGTATTTATTTCTCGTGTATGGGCATCCGGCGTTATCAGAAAGGATGAAATTTTGGCAGGAGCTGGGGCAGAAGATACAAGGATGTGCACGACCGGTAGCACTAATTGGGGATTTTAATCAAGTGCGAAGTGTGGAGGACAAATGGAGCCCAAAGTTTACAACAATTCAAGGTGAGAGTTCTTTTAATGATCTTATTTTTAAATACAGATTAATTGATCTTCCAAACCAAGGGGTGTGGTATACATGGTGCAACAATTGCTCTGATTCGAATATTATTTATGAACGGCTGGACCGAGTGTTGGTGTCTTCAGATTGGTTTGAAAAATTTCCTAATGCGTCACTTATGGTTCTGCCAATTCAACACTTGGATCATAGCCCATTGGTTTTTGATACGGACATGGTGGTTCAACCAAAAAGGCGCATAAAATGTTTTGAGGCTATCTGGTTAATGGATGACACTTTGAAGCATATTGTTCCCCATGCATGGCATGTGTTAACTCCGGGTTCTAGCCAATTTGCGGTTTGTCGGAAACAGAATATTGTATTTAATCACCTCCGAAATTGGAGCCGTTTGTCGTACCAAAGTCTGCAAGGACAGATTAATGAGACACGGCAGCTATTACAACACCATCAGCAGCATATTGTGACGTGGATGATTCTTTACTGGAGCAGCGTTTTCAACGGCAGTTGGAGGATTTACTTAGTAAGCAAGAAATCTACTGGGCCCAACGTTCAAAACAGCGATGGCTGCGACATGGAGAGCGGAACACAAGATTCTTTCATCAAATGGCATCTCGGAGAAAGAAGAAGAATCAAATCACTGTGTTAGAAACGGAGGATGGCTCACTTCTTACAGATCAGAAGGAGATTCATCAAGCCTTTTTTAACCATTTCAAATCTTAGTTTAAGTGTGAGGAGCACAACCTGCATAGGAGCTCGCAACATTTCTATGCAGGTGCCTTTCCAAATCATTTTGATTTAATTTCTGTTTTTAATTGTCACTTAAGTGAGGCCCATATTACTTTATTAAATCAAACTTTTACTACGGATGAAATTAAGAGGGCAGTCTTCCAAATTGGGAAATTGAAGGCACCGGGGCTTGATGGGTTTATTGCGGGGTTTTATCAGCAATTTTGGCATGTTGTGGGTCCATCGGTGGTTGAGGCGGTGTTCGCATTCCTAAATTCTGGTTTTTTACTTAAGGAACTCAATAAAACTTTTATTTGTTTGATTCCGAAAAACAAGGCGCCGATGACTATTAATGACTTTCGCCCAATTAGTCTCTGTAATGTGCTGTATAAAATTGGGTCTAAAGTCTTGGCAAATAGGTTGCGAGAGGTGCTGCCTGACTTAATTGATGATAGTCAAAATGCCTTTCTCAAAGGGCGGCTCATTTCTGACAATCTTTTGCTCGCACATGAGTTGATTGAGTTTGTTAGACATCGTACAAAGGGAAAAAAAATGTTTTTTGGGCTTAAATTAGATATGAATAAGGCTCATGACCGGGTAGATTGGAATTTTTTAATTGCTATACTTCGTCTTATGGGGTTTACGGAGAAATGGATCCAGTTGATACATCAATGTGTGTCAACCGTATCTTTTTCAGTGTTACTTAATGGCCAACCATCAGATTATTTTACTCTCAAAGCTGGTTTGCGGCAAGGGGATCCTCTGTCGCCCTATTTGTTTATCATTGTCATGCAAGCCTTATCTGAGGGCTTGGCTCACTTTGCTCACCAGGGTATTTGTAAGGGTATTGCTATAAGTCGCCATTCACCTCCAATTTCTCATCTGTTGTTTGCAGATGATTGCTTTTTATTTATGCATTTTAAGAGTGAGGAGGTATGGTGCTTGCAATGGTTGTTGAATGATTTCTGCCAACAAACGGGCTTACGGATTAATATTAATAAGTCCGAGCTATACCTCAGTCCTAATTTTTGTTCTAGAGAACGACTTCTGTTGGAGTCTATTTTCCATTTTAAAGTGGTTCTTCATCCGGGAGTTTATTTGGGGGCGTCCATGGATTGGTCGGGTAAGTCAAAAACGTCGTTATTTAGGGCCTTGGTCGATAAAGTTGCTAGGAAGTTGCAAGGGTGGAAATGTGGGCTGTTAAACTTTGCGGGTCGGTGTATTATGGTCAAACACGTTTTACAAGCCATCCCGTTATACCTTATGTCTGTCTTTAAAGTGCCATGCGCTGTCACTTATAAATTAACGGCCATAATACGTCGTTTCTTATGGAAATCAGATAAAAACTACGGGCTGTGCTGGAAAAAATGGGATAGTTTGTGTGTTGCTAAGCTGGAGGGTGGCCTTGGCTTTCGAGATTTGGGCTGTTTCAATCAAGCCTTATTAGCAAAACAAGCATGGTGGTTAATCTCTAATCCGACATCGTTGTTTGCTAAAGTGCTTTTAGGTAAATGTTGTTCTGCTGAGGATCTATTTCATGTTCGACAGACTACGACAGCTTCATGGGGGTGGAAAAGTCTTCTTTGGGGTAGGGAGTTGTTGAAGACTGGTTTGCTATGGAGAGTTGGCAATGGGCAATCAATAAACCCTTTTGTGGATATGTGGATTCCAGGGCAGGACAACCCAGTAGAAGAATTTGGGTTAAACCAATATCTACCTTCAATGCGAGTGAATCATTTGATAGATTCTTCAAATCTTTGTTGGCGCAGAAATCTCCTTCGATGGTTATTTCCTGAAAATGTGGTTCAATCCATCTTAGGCATTCATATTCCTTTAATCTCTTGCCCTGATAAGTTGGTGTGGAGACTAAGTAGGAATGGTATCTACTTGGTTAAATCAGGCTACTGGGCTGCCATTAGGCGAAAATTTGACAGGGTGAATGGGAATAATGTGATCAATCCTTCGATCTGGAAAAAATTGTGGAAAACAAAAATACCTTTAAGGTGGATTTGATTCATTTGGAAGTGTCTCCATCATATCCTTCCGGTCTGGTGGCAGCTTAAATGCAGAGGTTTGCAGGTTGATCCTGTAAAATGTATTATGAATTACAAAGAGAATGCACTCTCTTTTTATAGAGAGAAAGATAGTGCATTGTATGCCAAAGACCACCGAAAACATAAGGCCTAAATCTAAAGGAATAAAGCTAAAGTTAAAGTTAATAATTATACGCTATTAACAATTATGCACTAGACAATGATACACTAAACAATTATACACTAACAATGTCTATCTGATGCAATCGTATCTAGATGATCTTTGGCATCTGGAGGGGTTTATGCATGTCTTAGGTCGAAGTAAGAAGTGCTACATTTTTTCGTTTGAGCATGCACATGATTTGCAGTGTATAGTTGCCAATGGTCCTTATGCAGTTGCGGGGGCTTTGTTGATAGTAGATTATTGGCGACCTGGTTTGGTGCTGGAGAAGTTCGTCATTCCCCGTGCTGGGATCTGGGTTCGCATGTTTGGGTTGCCGCTTGAATGCTATACTGCTGAGGCAGGTTTTTGTTTAGGCAAGGCCATTGGAGAAGTTATTCAGGTTGATGTGGATACTGTTTGGCCACGGAACATACGCTATCTACTCCTTAAAGTGTGGATCTGTTTGGAGGCACCATTGATAAGTGGTTTTTTCTTAACATTTTCGAATGGAAGCCATCAGTGGATTGAATGTCAATATGAACGTATCTGTCGTATGTGTCGAAAATGTGGCAAGATTGGTCATACTGATGGGCAATGTGCTATGTCCTTCCAGGAGGGTCAAACTTTTGTTGATAATCATCTAGCTCAAGTTGCCAACAACTGGGGACTTGGGTGATTCAACAAGGTGATTAGAGACTGTATACATCAAGAATCTGAGTGACTGCACACTGACCAGAGAGATGATCCACTTGGCTGCATCATCGAACGACTTGGACACCTATACCCAAAGAGGGTATGTTAGCTACTGGTGGTGAGCTCTCTTTGGATAGCCCAAGTCACACTGCTTTTGTCCAAGCTTGGGAACGTGAATGGGATCGTGACAGTCATCCAGCGTTTTCAGATAGTGATGGTCAGGGGTTAGGCGCTGCCATGCTAACTGGTCAGGTCCATATACCAGTGGAGGACCATCTACAGGAGGTGGTTGGGGTGGATCATCAAGCTGAGTCGACTAGGGATCTTAACCCATTGCCAAATGAGCCGATCAACTCAGTATTTGAGCTTGAGTTAATGTGGAATAAATGGGCTGACGGTCTTCAAGCTATGGGCTTAAATGCAGGACAGCTACTGATGGACGTCGATCAAGCGGAAAAGACAGCTTCACAGCGGGGAAGACAATGGTCTACAGAGATGAAAATGGAAATTATGGGCCGACGGTTTTATGAGTTTATGGACTGGGATACTACTATTCAGTCTCTTAAGCATGGTGGATTGGGCCGAAGGTTGAATTTTCCGTATGGTGAGAGATACTTGGGCCAACGGACGTTGGTTCTAGTTGGGTCTCCTGAGGGCGGGTTGATAAAGTCTATTGGGCCTAGTAATGACGCCTCAAGTTCAAGAGGGGAAGAGATATTGGGCCGTCCTTACACAGAGCATTGGACGATGGAACATGTAGATGGGCCTCCTTACAAAAGAAGATTGATGGATAGTAACCATGATGCCATAGTTGCTTATTTTTCGGAAGGGGTTGCGGAGGTTAAGGGTGGTTTTGGGAAAGAAGGGGCAGATATCCATGATGTTGGAGGGATTTCAGATTCGGTAGTTATTGTTAGTCCGGTGGGAAGAAGACGACGGAAGGTTCAACATGGCTTGACGAACTGTGGTCTCATAGCTGGGCTGGAGAGCAATGGACGCACAAATTCGATGGGGGCTGCTAGTACTCTTCAGCCTGCCTCATCTCGGACTTAAAGGACGGGAGCTCATTCGCAGCGTTTGCTGGATCTCTCTAGACGACGTCAGAAACGCATGCAGAGGAGTAGGCAAATTGGTGGGGTCGATCTGGGTGAAGGTTCCTCTCGTTGGCGTAAATGATGATTCCGGGCTACAATGGGTTTGCAACAGAGGTTGGTAAGAGGATCAAAGTCGGGTTATGATTCTGAACCAAGTTCTTCGGATACCGTAGGGGAGTCAGTTAATCATCCCCCATGGACGACTACAGATGGTGTTTTCATTGAAACGGAGGCGGCGCGTATGAAGGAGCTCTTACTCTCATAACCATCGCAAGATGTAGAAGGGTTTTGTAGGAGGTTGTCCCACAACAACCTCCTTAGAGGCCATGAGGATTTTCAGCTGGAACTGTAGGGGTCTGGGTCATCCCCTAATAGTTCGAGCAGCTAAACAATTGATCCATCGATGGCGGCCAAATTTAATTTTTTTTCAGTGAAACCAAGCAAATGTCTAAACAGTTGGAGTTCTTTCGAATGTCTTTGGGATACCGCAATTGTGTTGGTGTGGATTGTAATGGCAGTCGGGGTGGTTTGTGGGCTGCATGGGATGATTGTCAACATATTACTAGTGTTAGCGCCACTAATCGGTATTTGTTGTTACATATTTCTGACGTGGTAATGGGTGATTGGTATTTATTTCTCGTGTATGGGCATCCGGCGTTATCAAAAAGGATGAAATTTTGGCACAAGCTGGGGCAGAAGATACAAGGATGTGCACGACCGGTAGCACTAATTGGGGATTTTAATCAAGTGCGAAGTGTGGAGGACAAATGGAGCCCAAAGTTTACAACAATTCGAGGTGAGAGTTCTTTTAATGTTCTTATTTTTAAAAACAGATTAATTGATCTTCCAAACCAAGGGGTGTGGTATACATGGTGCAACAATCACTCTGATTCAAATATTATTTATGAACGGCTGGACCAAGTGTTGGTGTCTTCAGATTGGTTTGAAAAATTTCCTAATGCCTCACTTATGGTTATGCCAATTCAACGCTCGGATCATAGCCCATTGGTTTTTGATGTGGACATGGTGGTTTGACCAAAAAGGCGCATAAAACGTTTTGAGGCTATCTGGTTAATGGATGACACATTGAAGCATATTGTTCCCCGTGCATGGCATGTGTTAACTCCGGGTTCTAGCCAATTAGCGGTTTGTCAGAAACAGAATATTGTATTTAATCACCTCCAAAATTGGAGCCGTTTGTCGTACCGAAGTCTGCAAGGACAGATTAATGAGACACGGCTATTACAACACCATCAGCAGCATATTGTGACGATGGATGATTCTTTACTGGAGCAGCGTTTTCAACGGCAGTTGGAGGATTTACTTAGTAAGCAAGAAATCTGATGTGCCCAACGTTCAAAACAGCGATGGCTGCGACATGGAGAGCGGAACACAAGATTCTTTCATCAAATGGCCTCTTGGAGAAAGAAGAAGAATCAAATCACTGTGTTGAAAATGGAGGATGGCTCACTTCTTACAGATCAGAAGGAGATTCATCAAGCCTGTACTAACCATTTCAAATCTTTGTTTAAGTGTGAGGAGCACAACCAGCATAGGAGCTCGCAACATTTCTACGCAGGTGCCTTTCCAAGTCATTTTGATTTAATTTCTGTTTTTAATTGTCACTTAAGTGAGGCCCATATTACTTTATTAAATCAAACTTTTACTGTGGACGAAATTAAGAGGGCAGTCTTCCAAATCGGGAAACTGAAGGCAGCGGGGCCTGATGGGTTTATTGCGGGGTTTTATCAGCAATTTTGGCATGTTGTGGGTCCGTCGGTGGTTGAGGCGGTGTTCGCATTCCTAAATTCTGGTTTTTTACTTAAGGAACTCAATAAAACTTTTATTTGTTTGATTCCGAAAAACAAGGAGCCGATGACTGTTGATGACTTTCGCCCAATTAGTCTCTGTAATGTGCTGTATAAAATTGGGTCTAAAGTCTTGGCGAATAGGTTGCGAGAGGTGCTGCCTGACTTAATTGATGATAGTCAAAATGCCTTTCTCAGAGGCCGTCTCATTTCTGACAATCTTTTGCTCGCATATGAGTTGATTGAGTTTATTAGACATCGTACGAAGGGAAAAAAAATGTTTCTTGGGCTTAAATTAGATATGAATAAGGCTTATGACCGGGTAGATTGGAATTTTTTAATTGCTGTACTTTGTCGTATGGGGTTTACGGAGAAATGGATCCAGTTGATACATCAATTTGTGTCAACCGTATCTTTTTCAGTGTTACTTAATGGCCAACCATCAGATTATTTTACTCCCAAATCTGGTTTGTGGCAAGGGAATCCTCTATCGCCCTATTTGTTTATCATTGTCATGCAAGCCTTATCTGAGGGCTTGGCTCACTTTGCTCACCAGGGTATTTGTAAGGGTATTGCTATAAGTCGCCATTCACCTCCAATATCTCATCTGTTGTTTGCAAATGATTGCTTTTTATTTATGCATTTTAAGAGTGAGGAGGTATGGTGCTTGCAATGGTTGTTGAATGTTTTCTGCCAACAAACGGGCTTACGGATTAATATTACTAAGTCCGAGCTATACCTCAGTCCTAATATTTGTTCTAGAGAACGACTTCTGTTGGAGGCTATTTTCCATTTTTAAAGTGGTTCTTCATCCGGGAGTTTATTTGGGGCGTCCATGGATTGGTCGGGTAAGTCAAAAACGTCGTTATTTAGGGCCTTGGTCGATAAAGTTGCTAGGAAGTTGGGATGGAAATGTGGGCTGTTAAACTTTGCGGGTCGGTGTATTATGGTCAAACACGTTTTACAAGCCATCCCGTTATACCTTGTGTCTGTCTTTAAAGTGCCATGCGCTGTCACTTATAAATTAACAGTCATAATACGTTGTTTCTTATGGAAATCAGATAAAAACTACGGGCTGTGCTGGAAAAATGGGATAGTTTGTGTGTTGCTAAACTGGAGGGTGGCCTTGGCTTTCAAGATTTGGGCTGTTTCAATCAAGCCTTATTAGCAAAACAAGCGTGGCGTTTAATCTCTAATCCAACATCGTTGTTTGCTGAAGTGCTTTTAGGTAAATATTGTTCTGCTGAGGATCTATTTCATGTTCGACAGACTATGACAGCTTCATGCGGGTGGAAAAGTCTTCTTTGGGGTAGGGAGTTGTTGAAGACTGGTTTGCTATGGAGAGTTGGCAATGGGCAATCAATAAACCCTTTTGTGGATTTGTGGATTCCAGGGCAGGACAACCCAGTAGAAGAATTTGGGTTAAACCAATATCTACCTTCAATGCGAGTGAATCATTTGATAGATTCTTCAAATCTTTGTTGGCGCAGAAATCTCCTTCGATGGTTATTTCCTGAAAATGTGGTTCAATCCATCTTAGGCATTCATATTCCTTTAATCTCTTGCCCTGATAAGTTGGTGTGGAGACTAAGTAGGAATGGTATCTACTTGGTTAAATCAGGCTACTGGGCTGCCATTAGGCGAAAATTTGACAGGGTGAATGGGAATAATGTGATCGATCCTTCGATCTGGAAAAGATTGTGGAAAACAAAAATACCTTTAAGGTGGATTTGATTCATTTGGAAGTGTCTCCATCATATCCTTCCGGTCTGGTGGCAGCTTAAATGCAGAGGTTTGCAGGTTGATCCCATTTGTGCTAGGTGTGTGCAAGCAAATGAGACCATTGAGCATGTTTTCTTTGAATCCCCTTGGTCCCAAAGAGTTTGGAGGGGTACAGTTTTGGGGTTGGATTTTACTTGTGGAAATCCTGTGGATTTTCGAACTTGGTGGGCAGATTGGAATAGGACTGTTCAGGAGGAAGATATTATAATCCATTCCATTGCTGTTATGGGGGCAATCTGGCGGCAGCGTAATCTTAAAGTGTTTGAACACAAGCAATTGTCAATAGATCACACTTTAAATTTAGTGTCTGAATTTAGATGGCAATGGACCCATGTCTGAATTTACTCATGATATATTTACATGTGCTAAAGTAAGGGTGCAGATTCCTTCTTCCAATAATTGTTATGTTATTACTAACAATGCAACCTCACATGATCTTTTTCAGCTCTTTACTTGTGTGGTGGATGGCGCTTGGAATCAAAGTACCAAAAATAGGAAATTTAAGAGGGCCAATATAGTAACGTTGTTTTATTTTTTCAAAAATTTTATTTTTTTCTTTCCGCATTTTTTGATGTTTTTTGTATATATATATACAAATATTTATTTTTTAATCACAAGAAAAAAAAATAGGAAATATAAGAGGGCAAAAAACTTATTCACAAATGTGGAAGGGGTGCAATGGGAATTTGACAATTCTCTTAGAAACAATATAATGAATCCATATATATTAAAAATAACCTTCTACGGCATGTAAAATTACACCATAAAAAGTAAGTAGCTGGGCTGGCATGGGTCTGTTTTGATGAAGCTCAAGTGCAGGTCTCACAGCAAGTGCTCTCTCTCTGTTTGCCTTCTCCTCTATTGGCAGAAGCTCGAACACTTTTGGAGGCGATAAAATGGGCTGTCAAGGCGAAAATTCAGTGCCTCTCGATATTTACGGATTGCCAGCTTTTGGTTGATAGTTTTGTGACAAAAAAAATCTCGAATGGGAGGTTGATTTGGTTGTACAGGATGTGCTAGTCTTAAGTAAGTTTTTTACGTTTTTATCTGTAACTAAGGTGGGTAGGGCTCTTGTCGAGCCAGCACACCAGCTGGCAAAATCTGTAAAACTGCTATCTCATGAATAATATATTGTGCTGTTTTGCTTGATTCTCGAATAAATAAATAAATAAATATGTTCCTTTCATGATTTGAAACGAGGACCTCTTAACCGAAATGGCCACACGTTGAAATTTTGATTTACCAAGTTCAATTGAATGTTGATTTATCTGTTAGAAGTGTCATATGACACATGCATTATATGTGCACTGATTGGTAATTTTAAAAAATATTTTAAAAAATTCGTTCAGTTCTTTTATGATACTCTCTATATGCACATATATGTATGTACATAATAAGGTGGATATCGGATTTTTATCAAGTCCTATTCTTCATGGCTCTCTGACATCTATCTATTCTAATATATAAAAGGAAGGCTATTAGTGGTGTTGACACTTTTTGTCACATATTTTGATTCTTTTTTTTCAAAATACCCCTATATTTGGAGTTTTTATAAAAATTAAGCAAAGAGGAGGACAAGTCTCAAATTCATGACCATGGATTTAATCATAAATGCTCTTACCACTTGAGTAAAGCATGTGCATTTTTTTTTTTTTTATCATTATTCTTATAATATATATATATATTTTTTTTTGAGTTGCACACTCGTTGCATGCTGATGGCTAGTATATATATATATATATATGTTCCGTCATTTATATTTATTGCTTGTAAAAAACAAATTAATGAGCATAGGAGGAAATAAAACAGAAAAGAGAAAAACACCATACATAACAAAAGTTTCTACTTGATAGGTGAGCGTGATGCCTCTTTTTATCGCAATCTTTTTAGCAACCAATACTAATTTTGCATTTTATTCCTCTAGTTTAAAATTTTTTATTTGATGTCAATAGATAGTGAAATTTCTTTCTAATCTACAAACAATGAAATATGGTTTTTCATTTTTTAGCATTTAATCCTCGACTTTTAACTTTTAATTTGAAATTTCTCTATTTATAAAAGATAATTTATAAATAATAAAAATTTCATTGTTTGAAAATAAATAACATTTTCTTCAATATTGCAAATTCAATACGAACTCCTACTAAATAGATTTCAACGAGAATATTCCAAAAAATACTTTAAAAAAATAAAAATTTAAGTTAATAGTTAGTATTTAAAAGTTTAAAAAATAAAATTAGCTATTCAGTAATTGGGTTGTGTTTTCTGCACGTGTTGTCTTGCACGTGTTGTCCTCCTCACAGTAAAACTTATGGGCTCGTTTGTGTTCTTATAAAAAAATCTTATTATAAGGGGTCTATTAGAAAAATCTCAACTTTTATTGCTCTGGCCATGTATTAAAAAAATCTTGCAGGATATGAACCAATATAGGGGTGTGATTGGACCAGTTTGGTTTGAGTTGACATTAAATTTAGAACCAATTTAAATGAATCATGCACTTGAACCAAATCAATTCAATTAAAAAAAAAATAAATTGATCAATAATTAAAATAAATAAGTCTTTAATACTTAAATATAACGCAAACACAAAATAAACATTGTTTAATACAAGTTAACTGCTGTGAATAGTATAGTGAAATCTAACTCAAGCTTAAAGCTTTGCTTTTTTTTTTTTTTGGGATCAGAAAGCTTAAAGCTTTGTTTGGTTTTAGATTTTTGGCTAAAAATGCACAAAAAGACAAAATTGGCTACATAAGCCAACAAGACAAAATATTACATCCAAACCATAATTATTATACTTTTTTTTTCTCACAAAAGCCAAAAAAACTAAACTAAACGAGGCTAAAAAAGTTCCAGCACAAAAAAACCAACTACAAAAGCCAATGCCAAACGAAGACTAAACACAACCTATGCAAATCAAAACTAGTAACACAACTAATAAAATAAAATTAAGTACCATGAATTCCAACTCTAACTTCCAGTATTTTCTTCTTCCACTTACCATTCTTCTTCTTCTTTCACTTCCCATTCTTCTTCTTCATATCGACAGAAAATTTCTTTCACTTCCCGTTCTTTTTCTTCATATTGATTGAAAATCAAAATAAATAGAGAGAAATGATTAGTTGCAATCAAGTCCATTAGAATAAACCAATTAGGCAAACAATAATGTTTTAGAGCTCTAAATTGGGAGCACTAGAGCATCACTAATGATGTGGCACAGGGGACCCCACCAAAGTGATGTGATGTTTTGGCTTGAGTTTGTTTGTTTTTTTTTTTTTAAGCTCATTAAAGTCATTAGTGATCCAAAAATTAGTTGAATCACCACTCATATATATAACCCGTGCACTGTTTCTCACTGTCTCACTCTCGTTTGTTCCACTCACTCTCGCGACTCTCGTTCTTCTCTCTCTCAACGAACGAGAGAGAGTGAGATACAGCCACCGTTCTTCTCTGTCTCTCACAGTCGGATCTGAAGACGTCGCCTCTCGTTCTTCTCTCTCTCTCACAGCCACCGTCGATCTCACTCTCATGTACCGGCAACCTTTGATAGTGAACCATCTGCTATTCGGACCGTTAAATTATTTTGACATGAGCTATATGTATCAAAAATTGTTGCATCTCCCGTCATATGATCAGATGCTCCTGAGTCCACAATCCAAGGTTTTTTACATTTCTTACTAACAGTAAAGGCGTTCAAAGAATTACCTTTGTGAGCCAAGGTTCCGGATCCTATGATGTGGTTGGAAGACGAACCAGATTGTGACTGTAGAATAGGAGACATTAGTTTCTGGAGCATCTCCATTTGCTCCTTGGTGAAAGGGCTTGTTTCAGGTTGTGGTGATAGTTCATTGGTACCTGCATGATTACCTCTTCCTTCTTTCTCAAGAGGCTGACGTGGCTTCCAATCTGCTGGCTTTCCATGAATCTTCCAGCAAGTTTCTCTCGAGTGACCCGGCTTTCTGCAATGATCACACCAAGGCCTACCTCCTTTATTTTTCTGACGGTTGTCAAAAGGAGTGAATTGAGTCTTAAGAGCCGAGCTTTCTGCCATATTCAGTTGTTGATGGGATCCCATCATGAGTTTTTTCCGACTTTCTTCGCGACGGACTTCAGAGAATGCCTCTCTAAGACTAGGTAGCGGTTTTACTCCCATAATTCTTCCTCTGATTTCATCAAGATTTGTGTTCAATCCTAACAAGAATTTAAACACACGCTTCCCTTCGACAATCTTTTTATACAACAAACCATCAGCAACACACTGCCAGTTATGAACCTCAAACGTATCAAGTTGACGCCATAGACGAGTAAGGGTATTGAAATATTCAGTTACCGTAAGATTGTCTTGACGTAAATTGTGGAGGGAGCTTTCAAGCTGGATGATTTCAGATGTGTTTTCCTTGTCCGAAAATGTTTCTTTTGCCATGTCCCAGATCTCTTTGGCAGTATCACATGACAGAAAATTTTCGCCAATGTCCGTGGTCATAGAGTTGACGAGCCACGACATGACCATATTATTTTCGGCTATCCACCTTTTGTAGGTTGATGCTGTGGTTTCTGGTAGCGCTGAGGCTCCGGTGATGTAGTCATCTTTCTCCTTTCCCCGTATAAACATTAATATGGATTGAGACCATTGCAAATAATTTTGCCCATTCAGTTTATGGGCGGTGATCGGAAGATGAGAGGTTTCCATTTGATGAGAGGATGAAGATGATGAGATGATAATATCAGAAGAAGAAGGGGATGAGTTGATAGTCATTCCAAAAACTGGACCGTATTTAGTCATGAAATAGAAGGATAGATTTGAGTAGAAGAGAGAGACAAAAAATTAACAACAGAAAAAACTCGAATACTGACTAAATGGGCGAAAAATAATGAGACAGGATTACACCTGCTCTGATACCATGAAAAAATAAATATGGAGAGAATAATTGACAGAGCAAACAGGCTCTTTGTTTTCAATTGTATTAATCCTTACGGGGAGACTCCATTTTATAGGAGTGATTATACAACATTTGCAAGACAATATAATAAAAGGCTACTAGACAACATAATGAAAGGCAACACTCATAATTAAAGGCACAACATATAAAACTAAAAGTAGCCGAAAGGAAATGGCACTAACTAAAGCAAATTGCACTATCTAAGGCATCTGATGACTACTAATGACACACAAATATAATATATACATTATATATATTATATATTATTAATAATGAAAAGAAGCTTGATTTCAAACATTAGAAATTAATCATCCATTAGTTTTAAATAATTTACTACATCAACAAGCTTTTTTGTTTCTATTTAAGGGATAGTTTTTTAGAACCCTTTTTTTCAACCAATTTTTGAATTCCAAAACAGTCGTTTCCTTAACTTGGCCTCAAGGTCAGCACTGTTTACACTGATACTTGCATCATCCATTAGTTTTAAATAATTTACTACATCAACAAGCTTTTTTGTTTCTATTTAAGGGATAGTCTTTTAGAACCCTTTTTTTCAACCAATTTTTGAATTCCAAAACAACCGTTTCCTCAACTTTGCCTCAAAGTCAGCACTGTTTACATTGATACATGCATCTTTTCAATCAAAAGTTCTATATCAACAAAGAAGAAGAAAAAGGATTTCTCAAATTCATGCATGCATTTGGTGCAGAGAGAGTGATGTTAAGGGCAAGAAATGAATTGTGGCCCCTTATGGAAATTTGCTATTTTAGTTGATTTTTAACTTTTTATAAAAAGGCATATAAAAAAGTAGAAAGAGTGATGTATGTACCCGTAACCTTCTTTCAGATTCCATTCTCCGAGCTAGTATTACAAAGTCGTCATGCATGACATAAGTCATTCAAATTTTAATGAATAATTAGTGACTAGTGTTAGAGTATTATGTGTGATTGTCTATATGGTGTTTCAAATTAATTGCATATAGCAAAAAATTTTATGAATGAAACATGTTAAGTAATCTTTGTGGGGTTGTTAGGAGACAAATGATGACTATTTGGTGTGTTGCGGTTTCTCATTGGCCGATACTAGATAATATAGTACTCTGGAAGTATCTAATATTTGTGTAAAATTATGGAGATGCAAGCGAAAAGTTATGGAGATGAAAGCATGTTTGTGTAAAATTTTATTTTCTGTCTCACTGTAAAGTAATCCCTAAGTTTTCAATTTTATGTAGTTTTCATAAATGAATATTCTAAGTACATTTGGTTCGACCCTATGGCCAGTAGAGCTAGAGTATTTCCATATCTTTCCCAAATTTCAACGCATGGGTCATTAATCTTTTTGGATGATAATAGACCACACAGATGATATGAAAACTAACATTGAAATAATTTAATTCGTATCAAAATATATAGCAAGGTGGACTGATTAATATTACCTTTACCATCTCTTCTTAGTAATGATTTTTTTTGAAGTAGATACCAACTTTCCTTGTCATTTAAACACTGGGGTTCATGGACGATAGGGTATGGATCTATCTGTGAAGGCAATATTTTATTACGAGTCGTTAGCAATATTTTGCTACCTGTGTTTCCATTTGGAAAGGCCGGTTCCAAGCTCTTCCAAGCCTCTATTGACCAAATATCATCCAGTACAACTAAGCATTTTTTACTCTGCTGGACTTTATAAAGTTGCTCAAACAACTCATTATTTGTCATCCTAACAACATCTTCCTTCCTCTCTAGAACAAGATTGATGAAGATTTCTTGCAGAATATCTCTTCTTTTATACTGTTGAGATATGCACACCCATGCCAAACCTTCAAAGTGACTCTGGACATCTTTGTGATGATATACTTTTTTAGCTAGAGTGGTCTTCCCCAAACCACCCATGCCGCAAATAGAGACAACTCGACTAGGAGTAAAGTCATCAACTTGCACCAAATGTTTCACAACCTTGTTCAAGTCTTCCTCAAACCCAACAAAATCCTCTTCAACAACATGCTGATACGATTGCCTCAATTCTTGTTGCTTCTCAACTGCCAAACTTCTTATGCCTTCACCTATAGCAATATTAGTTTAGTCTTTCTAATGGTCGATATTCAATAATAATGTTGTAGAAATAGAATTTTCATACAAAAAACTCACATAAAATGATTTTTTTTTTCTTTTGTGACCATTTTAAAGAGGAAAAAAACACTCATTTTATGGTTCAAAAATAATAGTGTCACATAAATGTTGTAGAAATAGAATTTTCATACAAAAAACTCACATAAAATGATTTTTTTTTTCTTTTGTGACCATTTTAAAGAGGAATAAAACACTCATTTTATGGTCCAAAAATAATAGCGTCATATAATTTGTATGAATTTTGTATATAAAAATTCTATTTTATGAATCATTTTTCACCATATAACAAAACATCCTTTATAAAATATATATTAAAAAAAGTGGAGGTCAAAATTGTGAAATATATTTTTATATGTTTCTATAAACTTACAAGATTTTTTGCTTATTATTTCTAGTAATATTTTTTTTGAAGAATAAAGACAACATAATTTTCTATAATAATAATATAGGTCCTCCAAAACATACGGTGACACTACAACAAAAATATATTTTAGTGGCACTACATTAGTGGCATATTTTTAGAAAATGCCACAAAAAATGATATTTAGTAGCACGTTTTTGAAAAATGCCACAAAACGACAAACATAAAAGGCTCTAGTGACATTTCAATGAATAAGTGTCACAAAACTACAACAAAAACATATTTTAGTGGCACTATACTAGTGGCATATTTTTAAAAAATGCCACAAAAATGATATTTAGTGGCATTTAAACACCGGAGTTCATGGATGATAGAGTATGGATCTATCAGTGAAGCCAATATTTTATGACGAGTCGTCAGCAATATTTTACTACCTGTGTTTCCATTTGGGAAGGCCGGTTCCAAGCTCTTCCAAGCCTCTATTGACCAAATATCATCCAGTACAACTAAGCATTTTTTACTTTGCTGGACTTTATAAAGCTGCTCAAACAACTCATTATATGTCATCCTAACAACATCTTTCTTCCTCTCTGGAACAAGATTGATGAAGATTTCTTGCAGAATATCTCTTCTTTTATACTGTTGAGATATGCACACCCATGCCAAACCTTCAAAGTGACTCTGGACATCTTTGTGATGATATACTTTTTTAGCTAGAGTAGTCTTTCCTCGACTAGGAGTATAGTCATCAACTTGCACCAAATGTTTCACAACCTTGTTCAAGTCTTCCTCAAACCCAACAAAGTCCTCTTCAACAACATGTTGATACGATTGCCTCAATTCTTGTTGGCTCTCAAATGCCCAACGACTTATGACTTCTTCACCTATAGCAATATTAGTTTAGTTTTTCTAAGGGTTGATATTCAATAATAATGTTGTAGAAATAGAATTTTCATACAAAAAACTCACATAAAATGATTTTTTTTTCTTTTGTGATCATTTTAAAGAGGAAAAAAACTCATTTTATGGTCCAAAAATAACAGTGTCACATAATTTGTATGAATTTTGTATATAAAAATTCTATTTTATGAATCATTTTTCACCATATAACAAAACATCCTTTATAAAATATATATTAAAAAAAGTGGAGGTCAAAATTGTGAAATATATTTTTATATGTTTCTATAAACTTATAGGATTTTTTGCTTATTATTTCTAGTAATATTTTTTTTGAAGAATAAAGGCAACATAATTTTTTATAATAATAATATAGGTCCTCCAAAATATAGGGTGACAAAAATACTCTCACTATACCGCTTCATGTATCACCTATTACTTTTTTTAACTCATTTAAACATTTCAAAATTATGCAACTTTTGATCTATATTTTTTTTATTTATAAAATTTGTGTTTTTGAAATCGTTTCATCAATATCTATAAAATAAGATCCATGATGAATACAAAATTAAAAAAAATTAAAAAAAAAAAGTTGATGAAATTTTATTGACATGAGACAAGCTTGGTAAAATTTTGGTTAGTGAATTTCGATAACCAAGTCAAACTATGTCAATCAAATTTCTAAAAACATAAATTTTACAAAAAATTTGAGATATAAATCAAAAGTTAAATTTTGAAAAAATTTTGAAATCACTTCAACAATGTAAAAAGGTCACACGAAAGAGAAACGACGTTATGAGAAAAATTAGGATTTTTTAGATCATGAGGGCATTTTGGACTATATATGTTAGAGTTGTCATTATTATTTTAAGATTTCAAATCTCAAGAATTTTAACTAGTAAGCAAATTGTTGTTATACTTAAAGGGTGAAACGCCAATAAATCTCAAAATGTGATCTTTTAAATTGTTTAGTCTTCTCTTTTTCCTTATGAATCCAAAGATCCCATTAAAATAGAAAAATCTCAGTTATATGTTTGGGTTTAATTTTTTAGAGATAAAAGTAAATTTTTTCAAATGTAAAATTATACATTTAGGCAATCCGCACTATAGAAGTTTTGAATTTTCCCTCATTTTGGAACAAATCCCACATTATGAACAAAAACGTAAAACTTTAACGTAACACTCCAATATAACATATTAAAAAACTCATTAGTGTACTTTTCTTAAACGTAACAACATAATACTAAAAAAACTCCTTAGTGTATTTTTTTTCAAACGTAACACTCTAACGTAACGTACTCCAACGTAACACATACAAAAATACACATACAAAAATATTCAAAACTCTTTAGTGTACTTTTTTCAAATGTAACACTCACAGTTTGAAACTATATATTTGCCTAAATTTACTAAGAAATTTTTGTACTCCTTTTTTAACAGTTTGAAGAATCTTTCATCATTTTGAAATGGTTTGAAGAATCCTACATATTTTTTTTGGAGTGTTACGTTTGATAAAAGTGTTACACTGAGTTTTTTTTTTGTGTGTCACATTAAAGTGTTATACTAAGGAGTTTTTTCAGAGTGTTATATTGAAATGTTACGTTTGGGAAAAATATACTAAGAAGTTTTTTGTGTGTTACATCAAAGTGTTACACTAAGAAAATTTTGTGTGTGTTTGTTACATTAGAGTGTTACATTAAGAAGTTTTTTTAGAGTATAATATTGGAGTGTTATGTTTGAGAAAGGTACATTAAGGAGTTTTTTTATGTGTTAAATTAGAGTGTTACACTAAGGAGTTTTTGTGAGAACCCGAATATAAAAATTAAGTAAATAATGAAATAATAATAATATTACAATCTCATATTTTGGTGGTGAATCCTAAAGTGCAAATTAAATATTTTGAAGGTCTTTTAATTAATTTTTATACCTAAAATAAATTTATGGTGAAAATCTCTAATTTAGAAGTAAGATTTTAATAATAATAAAATAATAAATAAAGAAAAGCAAAAGGATAAGGGAGTCAAATTATTTAAAGTGTGTGGGTAACCCTAAACTCTCATATTATTCAACTAGCAGCTGTGAAGAGGAGATAGGAGTAGCTTTTGGTGAAAATTGAAGAACTAGTTTGGTGCTTGAATAACTCCATCTCCAAGGTAGAAACTAATATTCTGTGAATATAGTTATTTTGTATATATGTTTCTGTGTATTCATTGGAAGAAAAAGGAATGAAAGCTTAACTGATTAGGTGGCTTGAGTATCTATCAGATTAATAGTTGGTGTGAATTAGTGTAATGGGTATGATGGATGTATGAAGAACAAGTATGTGGCATGGGTTATATTCAATGGGTGTTTTTGCTTGTAATGGTGGATCTTGTGAGTGAAACGTGGGTTAGGTAGGAGTACTTGGCTACCAATGTTTGTGAATATCATGTTTCTTTTATGTGGTTTGAGGAATTAAATGGGTACATAAAGTTGAGGGTACAATCTAGGAGTATGAAATTCTGCACAGAATCACAAACTTTAAAAATCAAGTAATCATATGAAACGAATGAATTTTGAACTGAAATTTTTACAGTAGATTAATTACATATTGAATTGAATATCTAACTTTTCTTATAATTTTTTAGAGTCGAAATTGATATTAACTGATGCGTTCAAATCTGTCCAGAAAACTGGTTTAAAACAGTAAGTTCGGAAGTGTCGTTCTCTTTGGGTATAAATTGGAAAATTATCAAATCAGCGTCATTAGAACCAACTATGAGTCTAATTTTTTACATTTTTGGCCTTGCATTGATTGCTCGTGTATACTTAGAGAACCGTCAATTTCTTTAAAGTGCTGCAGAAAACAACCTATTTAGATATAATTAATTGTAAATAATTATTTGGATAAGCAAATCAAGTGAAACCAATTGGGTTTGAAACTTAGGATATATTAGTTGATATCTGGAGGGTTTTGAAAATTTTCGAAAAGCGTGGAGTGAGTTTTGTAATTTTCAAAGTTAATGATTAGATTAGAAAAGCTTGTTTAAAATTCTGTCTTATGTTAAAGTTACTTTTAGTTAAGTTTCGATCGAAACCCATGTCTTGGGTAATTTTAGATCTAGAAGAACATGAACTTAGGTATTATTTAAGAGTAACGGTGAGTGGGATTGAGCTGTGTTAGTGCGCTTTAGTGTGGGGTACTTAGTTTATTATTCTCTTTAGTATTTTTAAATTAGTAGTGACGTATAGTCTTCATACTTGGTTCAGAGCACTAGTTGGACTTTCATACTCTATTCGAGGATTATATTATTTCATTTTCAGGTGTGTAGTTTCATGCTACATATTTTTATAAATGTTTCCCTACCCTGAACTGTTGGAAAATTAAATTGTTGTTTCAAGACTAAACTGTTTTGATAAATTATTATATTATAAATTGAATCAAATTATTTCTGAAACATGTGTGAACTTGGCATACTGTAAACTATTTGTTTTGGTCTCATGTTTATAATGGTGAACTACCATGTTTTGTGAAACTGATGTGTATTGATTATTGGGACCATCTGTGTATTTAGTCTAGGGAAATTATTCCACTGTATGTGGTGACTCTGGCCGCTAGGGAACAGATCCGGGTTAGATCGTGGTGACTCTAGTGCTCAACGATTGTAAGGAAAAGACCTAGGTTAGGCTAGGTGACCTTCAATTGGATCGTCTTAGAGAAAAGGCCCGGGTTGCCACCCCGAGGATGACTCTTGATTCGATATTGGATCCAACGGGGCTTATAGCCTTGAGAACTGTATGGCATATTACATGTTATTTCTTGGTACCCAGAAAATTATTGGTGTTCATATTGTAATCTGTTTTAAGTGAAAAATGTCATTTATCATGTTTTTGAGAGACATGAGTATTTTAACTGTTGAACTGTGAAACCTTTTGTTTTGAAACATATTGTCTTTACCAAACTATATGCCAATCTAGTTTCTATGATATAAATCTTATTTTGGAATTGAACCCTGTTTTCAAAACTGTATTTACTATCCATGTTGCTACTCACTGAGCTATTAGGTGACTTAGTTGTTCATCACTTCCAGGTGTTAGAAGGACTTAGAGTGGACTTATGGAGTAGCAGGGATTCAATTGCATTGACCTCTAGAGCATTCATTATTTTGTTTTAGCTTGTTATGTCGGTTTTGTGCATACATTGTGGTGGGATTTTATTTAGAATTATTTTATTTTATGGGCGATTTGTGTTCCATTTAGTATATATTTTTGGAAGTTGGTTATGGTTGATTTTGCCATTTATACTTGTGACTTGTCACTGGTGTGTTTTGATTTATTTATTTTTGGGCTATCATCACATTTATTCTTCGTGATTTTTCATACTTAGGCTTACGTGTGCCTTGGGTTGAGTCCCTGTGGGCCACGGCCGGTCATGCCCGGATTTGGGGTGTGACAGCTTTTTTGAAGTGTTATATTGGAATGTTTGAGAAAAATACACTAAGAATTTTTTTTTTTTTTTTAAGTGTTAGATTGGAATATTACAATTTGAAATTATACATTTGTTGAAAGCTTACTAAGGAATTTTTGTACTCTTTTTGAAATGTTTGAAGAATCTCACATTTTTTTGAAATATTTGAAGAATCTCACATCTTTTTTAAATATTTGAAGAATTCTATATTTGAAGTCATTTTTGTACTCCTTTTGAAATGTTTTCCAAATAAAAAAGATTCTCATACAAAAATTTATCCCAAATTTAATTCTCATAAATTGTGTACCTTACCTTTCTAGTACAAAAAAAAAAAAAGAGAGAGAGAAGGAAACATAATAGAAATAAGGTATAACTATAAATTCAATTTTCAAATAATATATTAAATCTACCTTTCTAAAATCAATGAAACTAATTGGTCTATAAAAAAATCTTGGGACTAAATAGATCACCATTCCTCAAAATAAAATTTATAAGTCAATTTTCCATCCTAAAATCTTACACAAACTTACAGAGATGTCTTTTTAATTTCTCCTAAATTTAACTGAAAAATTAAAATATAAAATATTATTCTTTCCTAAAATTGGTTAAAACTGGTTATGTCACACGAAAGATTAATGGAATATATTAACACAATTTAAATTTCAAATTTTAATTAGTAATATTTTGCATATCAAAAGAGAGAAAAATATACTTAAATAAAAAATATATAACAATAATTGAAATTACTAATAAATCAATAAATAAAAACTTAAATTTAAAATCATCACTTGAAATGGCTCACCTATACTTTTCAAGCCGTAAGTATGTAAACTAGCGGTGAGGTGAGTGATCTTGTTTTTAATGGCACCGATCTCACTTCCGACCTTGTGAACGTCTAGCCATTCGTTGAAGATGCAAGCGAATCTTTTAAGGGTGTTTCGGAAACCCTTTTTGTTCCTTTTGGATGAAACTTGGATGACATAAGTTTCGAGGATGTCTTCGGTTTCATAAGCAAGTTTTCTGATTTCCGCAACCCAGTTGTTGACCCTCGCATCTACATGATGATCAGACTGTATTGCATAATCTGCGTCTTGTAGGAAGCATTGCATTCGCTTTAACTCGGCTCGAATTTGTTCAACTTGACCGCTTACTCCGTGTAAGAATTTAGCTTCTTCAGTTAACAAAACTCCGAGTCTGTTTACAATGAAGGATACAACAGGCATTTCCATTCCGATCTGAGGTCAATTCAATTGAACTCACACCGGTCTCCCTCAACAAAAAAATGTGTTTGGATGAAGGGTGGAGAAGAGGTGCCTTTGGGGTTGGAGACTGGACTGAACTGGTTGAAAATCTTGATAAAATGGTGGTTGCCAGTTTGGTTAAGACTAGAGAGAGAGAGAGAGAGAGATTGATTTAATTAACAGAGACAAGAGAGATTGATTCCTTCGGGGAGCAACCTGTGTGGTGGAGCAAACGTGTGGAATCATTTCTCATTTTATCTATTTTGTCAATGATTAATAATTTATTCACATAATTTTTGTCACTAATTTGAATGAAATGTTTAGTTGAGAGATTTCGAAAGGTAAAAAAAAGTAAGTAAAATATAACTAAAAAATAAAGGAAAATTTACCCATAAGTCTTAGTTTCTGAAAAGTTGAACCATTTGGTCCTAAAAGTTTTCTTATGCTCCATTTAGTCCCATTTGCACATCAATCTAATGTTCGAAACATTAATTTGATGTTCGAAATCTAATGTTCGAAACATTAATCTGATGTTTGAAACATTGTAATGGGACCTTTCAGTGTATAAGAAAACTTTTAGAACTAAACAGTGTATAAGTTATTAATTTGAGATTTATTGGTGCATCCCCCAAAAATATATATATTTTATTTAATCTCATATACTTTTTTTTTTCTTTTTTAAATTTCTCCTTAAATTTCTCAATCAAACACAAACTTATTGTTAAGAGTCTAATGTCTTACCAGTAAAAGTCTCGTTTGAAAGGATTAGAAAGAAAATAATTGTGCAAATGGATCATTGCTATTTTTCTATCTAGTTAAATCTTTTTACTTTTATATAAAATTAATTTTTTGCATATGAATAATTCTATTTCATAATTTGATGTGTTATGAAATGTGTTTATCCTATTTAAATAAAAATTTTAAATAAATATAATAAAAAAATTATATTTTATTTATTTTTTATTTTTTTTAGCCATCATTCGAGAATGGATTATTTTAATTTACTTTTTAAGTAAAAACTACACTCCCCAAATTGGGGCCTTAATTTTAATTTTGGATCAATTACTTGACAGTTAGGTCAGATTAAAAATATATATATAAATGAATAAAAAATTATAATATTAATTATTAATATTTTTAATATATTTTTATTTTATGATAAATAAGTTTTAATGACACATTGGCCCTGTTTGGTAGAGCTGTGGGAAAGTACTTATAACTTATGTCTAAACAACTTATAGCTTATAACTATGAGCATAAGCTGATTTCTGACTTATAAATTAAGCATCTCCTGCCCCACTCAAACAATAAGTTGATTTTTGACTTCCAAAAAGCTATAAGCTATAAGCTATAAGCTAAACCAAACACCTCAAAATAGCTTAAATTAAGCTGAAAGCTGAAATAAGCAGCTTTTAAGCTGCATCAAACAGGCACATTGTCAGTGTAGTTCTTCATTTAATTTTTTTACCCGATTTTACTATCCAATCACAGCTGTAACGTGTTATTTGTGCGTGTGATGACGAGGGGAATCAATGGCAATAAAGAGATTGCCTTTAGCGGTCATCTGTATGACAATGGAGGAATTATGGGACCCAAAAAAAAAAATTTACACAAATATAAAAGTGTATAAGTCAGACTTATTAGTTATTCTTATCACCAAATTATTTACACTTTTTATATCTTTATAATTTTTTTCTGTCCCACTGTAAAATAATCCCTCCTATGAGAAAAATGATTTATTGATTAGTTTATTCTTGTGAGTTTGGAACCCAACTTTGATTTTCAATATATTTTTATTTTATTTTAAGGATATGGAGGACAGCCATTCCCCTCTCCTGGAACATCTTGGCCTAATTTAATATTGGAAAACCTAATGGTGTGTACATATATACCCTATTACAATTAGCATAATTTTATTACAAAATTTCATAATATCATTTTCAATTACAAAATGCATAATCTCATCACAAATGAGCGTAAGAAAATGTTTAAAATTTTATGGTTCATGTAATAAAAGTTTATGGGTTTATGGCTTAATTACGATATTTTCTATTACGCCAATTTGTGGTGAGGTTATGTATTTTATGGTTAATATTACTAAATTTTGTAGTAAAATTATGTCAATTAAATTTATGATAAGGTGCATATGGTACACACTTTTGAAGTAGTGTTTGGAAGTAAATAATCTTTCAAAATGGGGGATAGTTGACGTGCTATTACGTTAGACGACAGTTAAATTATACTTTACTCCCTTCGACTATATTGTTATATATCACTTTATGCCCCGCCCCCCACAATTAAAAATGGGGGAATTAATTGTCAATAGGATAAGGAAAAAAATTTACTAAAACATGGAGAGTGCAAATTGTTTTGTGGTGGGGTATCAGTGAAAATATGTATGATGCAGACTTACACCCCTTCATGTTTGTGTATATTTATTTTTTGGATAATTTCATTTACACCGCACAACCTCTCTGTACACACCATTTTCTCAATATACACCACACATTTTTAATACTTTGATTTTTTTCTCACTGCACACCATTAATTTTGAAAAATCCTAAATTACCCATATCTTCTTCACCTCTCTATCCCAAACCGTTGGCCGCCACTCTGTCTCCAGTCGCCTACCCTCCTTGCTGTCACCTACTCAAAGAGATGAAAAGTAGAGAATCAATTCTCCCTATAGAAGAGCAAAGAATTCATTTAATGATTCGAGATGAAGAAGAAGAAGGATTTGTCAAAGGCCAATCAGATTGAGAGGTTTGGTGGTGTATAAATAGAATCACCTTTTTTTTTTTTTTCCTTCTATTTCACTATAAAGTAATTCTCCCATTAAAAATTGTAAAAACTAACCGTCCTCATCTTCTTCTTTTTTTTTCTTTTTTTTTCTTTTTTTTTTTTTTTTTTTTTTTTAATTTCTCAATCAAACACAATCTTATTGTTAAGAGTCTAATGTCTTACCAGTAAAAGTCTCGTTTGAAAGGATTAGAAAGAAAATAATTGTGCAAATGGATCATTGCTATTTTTCTATCTAGTTAAATCTTTTTACTTTTATATAAAATTAATTTTTTGCATATGAATAATTCTATTTTATAATTTGATGTGTTATGAAATGTGTTTATCCTATTTAAATAAAAATTTTAAATAAATATAATAAAAAAATTATATTTTATTTTATTTTTACTTTTTTTTGGCCATCATTCGAGAATGGATTATTTTAATTTACTTTTTAAGTAAAAACTACACTCCCCAAATTGGGGCCTTAATTTTAATTTTGGATCAATTACTTGACAGTTAGGTCAGATTAAAAATATATATATACATATAAATTAATAAAAAATTATAATATTAATTATTAATATTTATAATATATTTTTATTTTATGATAAATAAGTTTTAATGACTCATTGTCAGTGTAGTTCTTCATTTAATTTTTGGGCAAATTACAAACACCCCCTCGAGATTTGGTGAAAATACAGATTCCCTCCTGAGATTTGAGAAATTACATCCCACTCCCTGACATTTATATTTCTATAACAAATTGCCCCATGAGGTTTTTATTTTCATACAGATTCCCCCATAATTTTCTTTAATTTGTTATGAAAATTTGACCCTCAAGGGGCAATTTGTAACTTCTCAAACCTCAGGAGGAATCTATATTTTTATCAAACCTCGAAGGGGGTGTTTGTAATTTGCCATTTTTTTACCCGATTTTACTATCCAATCACAGCTGTAACGTGTTATTTGTGCGTGTGATGACGAGGGGAATCAATGGCAATAAAGAGATTGCCTTTAGCGGTCATCTGTATAACAATGGAGGAATAATGGGACCGAAAAAAAAAAATTTTACACAAATATAAAAGTGTATAAGTCAGACTTATTAGTTATTCTTATCACCAAATTATTTACACTTTTTATATCTTTATAATTTTTTTCTGTCCTACTGTAAAATAATTCCCCCTATGAGAAAAATGATTTATTGATTAGTTTATTCTTGTGAGTTTGGAACCCAACTTTGATTTTCAATATATTTTTATTTTATTTTAAGGATATGGAGGACAGCCATTCCCCTCTCCTGGAACATCTTGGCCTAATTTAATATTGGAAAACCTAATGGTGTGTACATATATACCCTATTACAATTAGCATAATTTTATTACAAAATTTCATAATATCATTTTCAATTACAAAATGCATAATCTCATCACAAATGAGCGTAAGAAAATGTTTAAAATTTTATGGTTGTATAAAAAACGCTGCTAATTCTATTTGTCACGTTTAGTACCAAACGCCGAAGATGCAGCCTCCGCTATAACGTTATGACGCTTTAAAAACATCGTTAGATTAGTATAAGCGGCGTTTTAAAAAATGCCTCTAAATGTGATAAATAAAGATAAAATGACGTCATCCAATATTTAGCGACGCTTTAAAAATGCCGTGACAGATTTTTTCCTGTTTTAAAAAAAAAAAAATATTGTATCACACAGTCCAAAAATCGATTTTTAAACATTTTAGGCTTGGATTGCAAGGTTTCAAAGATGAGATAATGAAATGGTACAGCTGCACACATTAAGGAACAGGAGAAGATCATCAGAATTCAGTTGAAGATAAGGAAGCCTTGATTAAACAGAATTCTTTAAAAATGTACCGTTTCCATCCACTTCACATCATCTTAAGAATTGCCATTTGTCAAGACAAGACTTTATCTGTTGAGATCTCCATTTTGTCAGACTGGCTAACATTCCGAATATTTGTGACAAGTTCAGATGCACGTTCTGTTAAAAACTGATCCCAACTTCTCTCTTTAATTTTGAAATCGTCACCACCATCGGAATGATGATCACTGAAGGATGTATGAAGCCGAATGTTTGAGCACAACACAAAAAGGGTAACACCAATCGCTTCCCTCACCTATCCAAACAAAACTTGCATCAAGTTCTGACAATAAGAGCAACTTCCCGACTCTTTCTGTGGTCATAAACTGCATAGTTATTAACTTAAGGATGCTTGGTTAAAGTTTCAGGAAGCAGTTTACATGAAATCTAGAACTTCATAACCCTTTCCTTATTAAGCACTTTATGAAAAATATGCATGGGTTCTGATCCAGAATTGAGGCCAAACAAATAAAAGATAATTAAAATCTACTTCTAGTTGTTCTTTTATATGTTAAAACCATTATTCACACAAGTTTTGATGATTCTTCCACAATTGATGATTTCTTCCATACTCAGAAATCACTTGATCAAGCTCATTTAAGGCATAGAAGACTTCCTAATTGGGATGCATCTAATGGTGTGTCCAGCAAACATCCAATATCCAGAGCGTACTGTAGTTCTCCCCTATCCATATCTTAAAACAGAGAATTCACATCAACAAAAATCCCAGCAGCACGCAAATACAATTCTCTACTGCAAGAATTAAAAAGAATCCATAAACTATTTGTGAGAAAACAATTTTTATTTTTATTTTTAACAAAAGGTATGCAAAGAATATTTTTGGATGATTGAAAGAGGAAAGAAAAGCATAAACTAAATATATTTTGGCAAGTTATTTCCCACAATCAAGCTTGGAACTAGTATATAATGAGAACTAGTAACAGAATAGCTAGAAATATGTTATAAGATTGGAATTCTGTAGAAAATTGTGTTACTCAAAGAACCATAAGCATGTATCAAATGAGTTGAAGGGAAAAAAATATGAGGAAAAAGGAAAAGGATTAAGAAGGTTTTTAATTAAAATAACAAAACTAAATAATGTTTGACATTGCTAATAAAAATTAAAATATACCAAATAAATGAGTCAACAAAGAAGCTTCAAGTCAATTGATAATAAAAACAAGGAAATTCTAGTCAAAAATTTATTCGTCGTAAAGTGTACATGAAAAATTTATATGTTTACATATATATATATATATATGAATAAGGGGTACAAGAATTAGAGTCATCCAAACATTCCAAAGAGCTAAATTGTACAATTTTATATGTTTTCATTGAATCTGGATCTCCATGGCTTCATAGTGTAACAATCATGGAGTAAACAGAAAACCTATGACTGATTGGAAAACTTAAAACCCACTGAACTATAAGAGATTGGTACTATTTATTTGCGGTCTATTAGGAATGCATTCAAAGTAACAAAGAATGTGTAGAATACTAAAATCCTATTTTGAAAAGGAAAAATATATATATATATATATAGTACCTGATCTTGCAGAACATAGTATTATGATCAAAGTTCACAAATAATAATTCAAATGGAAATGGCAACAAAACATAGTATTATGAACAAAGTTCACAATTAAGAACTTCTATGTGTATCTACAGCTAAACAATTTTAATACCTGTCATACAAACGAGCAGCAGCTTCTTGAGATCCAACAATGCCCAAGTGAATTTGTTTCTTGTCAACTTTTATGGCTGCCTGCCATTTCATATTCTTAAAATAGACACCTCTCATCAGACATGGTTCTTGGTTCTCAAAATGCTTTGTCCGATGTTGCTTTCTGCGTTTGACCTCTGGCACTGCAAAAAAACAAGCATCAGTTTAAAGGCTAAAGGCATTGCTGACACAAGAAACCAGGTCCGCCCAGGAGGGGGATATATATGAGGATTGGCAATAGATAAATTTTGAGTTCAGTAAATATAATAAAGTAACAAAATTTTGTAAAATGTGTATATAAAAGGAAAAACCTGGATATTGTTGATTATGCTGCTCTTTTGATGAGCTAGAACCAGATGCATTTGATGACCCAGGACTTACTTTTGAAATGGTTTTATGGGAAGCAAAAGCAACACGTACAATATGAATATAAAGCTTGAAGTACAGGATAGAACATGTAAACAATCGCTGACTATCTATTTAGATAAAATAAATAAAAAAAGTAATCAATTTGTGCTACTAATTTTATATCTCAAATGAACAGAGCATATACACTTATCAGCATGACATCAAAATATCGAAAGGCACAATATAATGGTTTAGGAATTTTGAAGTCATCTCTCTCTCTCTCTATCTCTCATCCAGTTTAATTACTTGAGGCTTCTATTTAGAACACCCTCCACAAATTCGATTCTCTCAAGGATTCCTTGAAGATGTTCTACACAATACTTGGCCAATTAAAAATCTGAATGGCACATAACAAAATTTGTGTGTGTGTGTGTGTGTGAGAGAGAGAGAGAGAGAGAAATTTTATACAAATTTTCAAAAGGAGAAAGAACTTACCTCCAATTGTACAATACATGGGGTGACATTTATGCATGTTCTTGGATCCACCATGCAATCAATAAAACTCATCATAGTCAAATTTTTGAAAAGAAAAAAAATAATATGCCCGCCAATTTCATTCAGCTCAGAAAGCAGAGATGCAGGGGAGAATTCCTTTCCATTGACTGAAACAGGAAGCCCTGAAACCCTCTGTTGTCCGTAAAAGAGATTAATTCACGTTCTAAAAGGTGCTCAAATGCCTGCAGAAGTCAGAGCAACAGATTACCAAAATATGCTTGGGATAGATTAGAAAGAAGCATCATCATGCAAAGTTCCATACACACCCGTAAGCATACACTACTATTATTAAAGAAGTTGCCATAGATGATTATGGCATGCTCTCTTCTTGGGGGAATGAAGAAGATAAGCAAGATTGTAGCAAATGAAGAGGAGTCCCTTGCAACAACCACAGAGGTATTAGTCCCCCATTGCTTAAATTGTAGTATTTAAAGTACTTAGATTTTATCTCTCTTATTTCAAATTAAAGTTTTTAAGAGAAAAGTTCGAGCAAATTCAAAGAAAGCAATTGAGGGTGAGCAAGACAAAAGGGATTAAGAGGCAGAAGCTGTTTTAACCTGTTATCAGCTTTATGAAAGATGGAATACCTTTAATTCCATAACCCAAGCAAGAAGTTGAAAATTAAGCATTTAATTCCAGATTATAAAAGACGCCGTTGATCATACTGACACATCAATTTGAATACCTTTTTATATTTTTAATTTAAAATAACACTAGATAGACTCCAATTAAAAGAAACAGAGAAAACCGAGTCTGGTTCGCAAACCGAGGCAAGGCACAAAAGAGGGTTCGGAAGTCCGAAGGCAGGGCTCGCAGCCAAGACTCTGAAACTTCTGAACGAGCACATTATGCAATATGACCAAGTGCTCAACTGGTGACGTCTGAGTCTCAAGGTCGGTCAAAAATGGGGTGTCTACACATGCCCTTATAACGCAACTTGCAGACTTTACTCCAAATAATCATGAGTCACAAAACTATGTGCCTAAATGCAAGATAAACTGTAACTGAGTACAACAAAAACAAAAAATGAGAAGTTTGAATCTGTAGCATCCATCAAATTATAGGAAAAACTACCAAACATTTTTTTTTTTTTAGTTTCAATCTTTCAAAATGAGAAGTTGCAGAAAGGTCAATTTATAGTATCAGCTAAATCATAATAATGAGAAGGTCAACTTCCAAGACTACTAGTACTGACCAATATCTAATTGCCATTTTTGTTGGATAGCAAAAAAACAGCTTTTGTCTATTGCAGTCGAGTCGAGTGCAAGTGCTTCTTGTAACATGATGTCTCTACGTATTTCATATGTTCCACTTAGTTATATATATATATATATATAAAATACAGTGTAATGCCTTACTCTGATTTGCTTGTGTCACTAAAAAAAGGTCTAGTAAAATGCCAAGGGGAAATTAATGGGATTGACTATATTTTTGATGCACTCGATTAACTATACAGAGTAATGAAACCCATCTCCTTCAGTAATGCCTCTCTGTTCTCCAAATAATATTAGGACTGGAAACAAAGTACAAAATATAAAGATCAATTTAACTATGTGGCAACAGTCACTATAGCAGCCATCAAAATATGTTCTCAATTGGCCCGGTGCAAACACAAGCTTCTGGAAATTGTAATGGAAGTTGGAGAAGCATACCAGATCGGCAACATTGCCAACACATTCTCCCTTCGCAGTAACATCCCCAATGTTTTCACCTTTGGCAAAGGCTTTGTATATTGGAGTGCGAGTCGAGGTTGATGTGACAGCACCAATATTCTGCAAGTGAAACAATATGAAAGTAAAGCAATAAAGCTAATTCATCACATAGATTAGCCGAAATTTATAGAATGGGAAGAAAATGAGAGACTGAGAAGGGTTGAACCTTGGCCACATTGGTAGCACAAGCTAAAGGCAGAAAAAGGTGTGGCACAGCTGTAGTTGCCAACTCTACCCCAACACCCACCTCCATTAGAAGATCACCGGCAAAACGAAGCTGAAGGGAATCATGATTTTGAGCAAAGATTACTTGTTAGAAATCAAAACGAAGTTCCGTGAAAATCAACCACAAGAATAACTATGATCTATATCTCTTCATCGTTGAGCTCCTAGTCACTGCCTCCAACGATCCACATCCAATGCCAATTGCTTTTCCTGTACATGATCAGAGACACTAACACCGCACTCGAAACCCTAGATAAATCGATTCGCCATTGCTGCTGCTCAATCTGATGAAAGAGAAGAGTTTTCCATACAAGGACTAGAAAGAGTAAAGGAGCAAAAACGAAAAGAGAAACACAAGACAAAAACAAAAACAAAAAAAGCTGGAAATCAACTAAATCGAGAGAAACAATTCCAAATCGTTAGTTTTAGCCATGGAATTTTATAGATCTAGTGTGAATGTAGCAAATCCATATTAGAAAACCCTAACCTTGAGCCCTAGACCGATTTAGATCATATGGATTCGAACAATCTGTAAGATATACGGTCCTAAAAACGCTAACGTTGAGCCCTAGATTGATTTAGATCATAGGGATTCGAACAATCTGGAAGATATACGCTCAAATCAAGAGCAGAACAAGATTTTTTAGATCAAACAACCGAAGAATTGATGGAGATCAAAGGTCTGATGCCTCAAAGATCCCAGACTCGATTTCTCTCTCTTCCTAAAGTCGCAGAGTAGAAAATTTTTTGTTTTTAATTTATTTGAATTCCCTACAAGTACAACTACAATTAAAAGAAATAACAAATAATTTAATAATCTTATTTTAATGGCACAGTATTAACTCACAATTTTCTTATAACCGGCACACAAAACAAGATGGTTTAGTTTACCTTTTTTGGAATTTGAAAAATCGGGGCAGATTTCACAACATTTTTGAAAAATGCCATTAAAAAAAAACGTCACTATACTCTGTTTTTCTTGTAGTGGAAGACCAAAACCAACAGTCAGAACTCTATAACATTTTATAATAATGATCTATGTAGCACGGACACGTCTCCTAAGGCAACGTTTGGGTGTCGGACACGCATCGGACACGCGGTGGACACGTGTCCGACACTCTACCCAACGTGTCCCTTTTTTGTCCCTTTTTTTTTTTTTTGAATTTTTGCAGCCGGACACTTGTTTGGACACTGTTGGACACGTTATGGACAGAGAGGAAGAGAAATCCTAACTTGTTGCAAACAAAGAGAGAGAGAGAGAGGGTGAAGAACCTGTTGAAATGGAGCCCCAGATCAGATATGTTCTTCGATTCTTCAAATCTCTGCTTCGATCTTTTTCTTTTCTTCTGTTTTTCTTCATTTTTCTTCTTCTTTCTTCGTTTCGTCCGGGTCGTCTGTGTCGTCTTCCTCGTCTTTCTCGTCTGTGTCGTCTCCCTCTCAAGGGTTGAACCTTGGCCACATTGGTAGCACAAGCTAAAGGCAGAAAAAGGTGTGGCACAGCTGTAGTTGCCAACTCTACCCCAGCACCCAACTCCATTAGAAGATCACCCGCAAAACGAAGCTGAAGGGAATCATGATTTTGAGCAAAGATTACTTGTTAGAAATCAGAACGAAGTTCAGTGAAAATCAACCACAAGAATAACTATGATCTATATCTCTTCATCGTTGAGCTCCTAGTCACTGTTTCCAATGATCCACATCCAATGCCAATTGCTTTTCCCGTACATGATCAGAGACACTAACACCGCACTCGAAACCCTAGATAAATCGATTCGCCATTTCTGCTGCTCAATCTGATCAAAGAGAAGAGTTTTCCATACAAGGACTAGAAAGAGTAAAGGAGCAAAAACGAAAAGAGAAACACAAAACAAAAGCAAAAGCAAAAAAAAAGCTGGAAATCAACTAAATCGAGAGAAACAATTCCAAATCGTTTGTTTTAGCCATGGAATTTTATAGATCTTGTGTGAATGTAGCAAATCCATATTAGAAAACCCTAACCTTGAGCCCTAGACCGATTTAGATCATATGGATTCGAACAATCTGTAAGATATACACTCCTGAAAACGCTAACCTTGAGCCCTAGATTGATTTAGATCATAGGGATTCGAACAATCTGGAAGATATTCGTTCAAATCAAGAGCAGAACAAGATTTTTCAAATCAAACAACCGAAGAACTGATGGAGATCAAAGGTCTAATGCCTCAAAGATCCAAGACTCGATTTCTCTCTCTTCCTAAAGTCGCGCATCTGTTGATTAGAGTAGAAAATTTTTTGTTTTAAATTTATTTGAATTCCCTACAAGTACAACTACAATTAAAAGAAATAACAAATAATTTATTAATCTTATTTCAACGGCACAGTGTTAACTCACTGTTTTCTTATAACCGGCACACAAAACAAGATGGTTTAGTTTACCTTTTTTGGAATTTGAAAAATCGGGGCAGATTTCACAACATTTTTGAAAAACGCCGTAAAAAAAGACACTATACTCTGTTTTTCTTGTAGTGGAAGACCAAAACCAACAGTCAGAACTCTATAACATTTGATAATAATGATGAAGGAAAACGACTTATCATACCAATATCTAAGAAGGTAAAGCATCATCAAGTCAATTATGTACTAAATGCCATGCCAACATCAAGCCAAAGTCTCGAACAGAAGAATACAAAATGCTTACTTCGATTTCATGGTTGATAATCCAACAGAGCCTAACTTCGAATGCCAAGTTCTATCAATTCTTCCTCTCTTCGGACAAGATAATGTGGTATCCATGCCTGTACCATCAATAGCATAACAGAGTTAGCTGGTCTGAGCAACGTGAACAGCATAAGATAGAGCTTAACACATGGTTAGCAGGTTTGCAGAGCAAAAATCAGGAATTAAAATAGCATACATTGATTTAAATGGTGCACTGGTAGCTCCAACAGGTGTAATAAAGGCAACAACCTGAAATGGACCAGCCATCTTGCCTCGCGGAAACCATCCCAAGTCTCCACCCTTCTTCCCTGATGGACACTCTGAATATTCTGCTGCTAGCTGGAAGAAAAAGACAGAAAAGGAGCACAGAGATGTCAGTGTTATTACTCCTTCAAATGTTCCAGAGACAATATCTTGGCCAAAAACTCTCTTTGGAAGAATGTACAGAGAACATTCGAACCATTTTCTTATGCTCCATTTGTTTCAGCGGAAAACATTTTCTATGTTTGGTAGCTTCCCTGAAACTAGTGTACTAAAAGGTTGTACTAGTGATGGTAGGGTGGTGGTGGTGGTAGGGTGTGGGGGAAGTGGGGGTGTGATGGAGGTTGTGGCAGTGGCAGTGGCAGTGGCAGGAGAAGATTCATTTCACTTAGCTACTTGCTTTCTAAAATGTGCTAATTAATCATGATCTCTTCAACTTAATGATTTTATAACAGTGTTTAAGTACTACATTACAAAACCTTGGTCATTGGAAACAAATTGCGCCTAATTATGTGCATGAACACAATATGCTCATAAGTTAAGTATTGGTCCATTTGTTTGGGCGGAAAATTGTTTTCTTCATTTTCTGGCATTTGTTACAAGCAAAATGAGAACATCAACCAAATTTTATGTGGTAAAAATAAATCTAATTGGGCGGAAAATGTTGGACTTTTAAAAGGTGCAAAACATTTTCTAGACTGAAGTCTTACCAATGTCTCACCTGCACTAGCACTACCACCACACCTACCACACCACC